ATCGAATTCGGTAGGGAGAAACTGAAGAAGGGAGAAGTGTGCACTCCATATGTAAGCTCAAAAGAACAACTTGCAGATGTTCTTACCGAAGGTTTAAATCACTTGTGGCATAATGATCTTTGAGATAAGTTGGGGATGATTGGTATCTATGTCCCAACAGGGGGAGTGATGTAATATTCTTAGTTATGTGCTATAAGGGTCTCCAGTGCATCACCCATCTGAGCCCCTACCAAATAGTCTATGGGTTCAACCCTGTAGGACCCTTGGTGCTAATTGAACTCCTTGTCCCAACAAGGCCCAATGACAAGGTGGACAACATGCTCTCCAAACATGAATAGATTTATGCCAGAGTCAAAGCTCAACTGGAGGATTTTTTTTTATCAGTAACAATAAACTTTATTAATGATGTGAATATTTATGAAGCTTTAGATACAATAGGGGAGGTAAAAAGTCTTAACTCCCCATCAACAGAATACAATGACAAAAAGTTAAAAATTAGCCCAAAAGATAGCCTCCCTATTCACCCCCTACTTGGCCAGCCCATCAGCAAATGAGTTGGCAAACCTCTTCACCCAACTATAGTGTATCTCAATGTCTCTGCCCAACCAACAGAATTTTTTCTTTTCATTGTTATAGTTCCACAAGCCATTGTCCTCTTCCTTAAGCCAGCTAATCACCACCTTCAAGTCACCTTCCAAGACCAAACATCTGATATTTAGTTGCTCTTTGAATTCCTTCCAGAGCTGCAAGGATCTCAGCCCTAAGAGAGTTTCCTTCCCCAATGGGGCCGGAGAACAAGGCAATAACAACCCCCTCCTCATTCTTGAACACTCCCCCAATCCCAGAAGGCCATGGATTCCTCAAAATACTGCCATCAAAATTCAGTTTTGATGGACTAGGAGTCCTCTTACACAAAGAAGAAGCAGCTATCTCTTTCCAATTTCTTAATAAGTCAGCCACAGGAAAGTCTGAGAACAGCTCCAAAGATTTTAGCCAATGGACAGCCCTTAAAAGTATTAGATCTAATAGGTGTGCCAGGGTTCTGTCCTTGTCTGAGAAAATTCGTGAGTTTCTTTCTTCCCATAGGGACCAACATACAACTGCCCTTGCTCCTCCACATAATCTCCCCTCTCTTCTTAGGCCATCTGAAAAATGTAGGAGAGAACAGCCTCTAGACACTCTCGGAGGGATTCCAAGAACACCCAAAGAGGGAAAGAGCCCACTCCCATACAATTTTAGTGACCTTACAAGAAACCATAAGGTGGTAACCAATTTCCCCATCAGCTTTACATAGAATACACCAATTAGGAAGTAAGCAAGAATTGGGTCTCTTTTTTTGAAGTAAATCATTTGTGTTAATTCTTTCCAGGAAAATTTCCCAACAAAAACTACCAATCTGAGGAGGAATGGGCTTGCTCCAGATCTCTTTAACCGGAAAGTACACCCCAATTGTGACAGGAGGCTGAGTTAAAGTTTCAAAAAAGGAAGCAGAAGAGAAAGTACCTGAGGTGGAAGGAGTCCAGAATCTAGTGTCCTCCTTATTAGGATCCAGGAAAACATTCTCAAGGATGGTTAACAAAGATAAGATGTTGTCCAAGTCTGTATCCCTAATTGCCCTTCTCAGGCCTAGGTTCCAACCAAAACCAAAAGTGGAATCTGAAAGACCTAAGAAAGAAGAAATAGGTTCATTTTTCAAGTCTGACAAAGCATACAAGGAGGGGAACTGGTCCTTCGGAGGTGAATCCCCTACCCAAGTCTGTTCCCAAAACTTTATTCGATTGCTAGAGTTAAGGCCATACCTGACCCAAGGGGAGAAAGCTGGAAGCAAATCATGAATGGATTTCCAAGGAGAAGCAGCTGTAGCCCTTGTAGCGATTCTAGGATCCCAACTGTTGTCTCCCAGCCCATGTATGCTAGCCACAACCTTAGCCCACAACTTATCTTTTTCCGTTGTAAACCTCCACAACCATTTCCTCAGCAAGGCCATATTCCTTTTCTTAATGTTACCAATCCCAAGGCCTCCTAGCTTTTTACCTCTAGTTACCACCTCCCAACTCACCCTATGATCTCTCTTTTCCTCTCCAAGCTCCCAAAGAAAATTCCTCATTAATTTTTCCAAAAAGTTGGAAACCTTGGTGGGGATCTTAAACACTGACAGAAAGTAGACAGGAAGGTTAGCTAGGGTAGACCTAATCAAAGTGATTCTCCCCCCTAAGGAGAGATAATTTTTCCTCCAGGATGCAAGCCTCTTCTCAAACACAGAAGAAAGTTCGCTTTGAAAAAGGTGACTTCATGTACCATTTCCTATCAAAAAAAAAGGTGACTTGATGTGGGTGATCCTAAACCCTAAAAGATTTCCAACAAACAAACCATGCAAATTGCAGAATAGGAAACTTGAACCTTGTTGTATCATTAAGAAAATCAATAACAATGCCTATTGAGTTGAGCTTCCCCTCCATTTCAAGACCTCTGATGTGTTCAATGTTAACATTTATATCCTTACCATGGTGAAAATGAGGCCTGTGAGATCTCAAGCTCAAGGTCGAGTTCTCCTCAAACTGGGGAGGATGATGCAGCCCACGAGGCAAAGGAAGCAAAACAGGTGAGGCTTCAACCCATGAGGCCCAGGGGAACGAGTCTTAACCCAACATGGAAAGAAGAGGTGAGGCCAGAACCTCACATCCCATGAAGTTGCGAGATGCAAGAATCGACAAACCCTAGAACCTCGTGTCGCACGAAGAATAACGACCTTGCAAGGTCGCAAATTTGTAAGACCAAGATTCCAAACTATGAGACCTAAGCCCACGAGACCAAGCTACGAGGCTAGCACAAGAGCAAGTTGCAAGGCTCCTTCGTCTGCTTTGCAAGATCTTTACCCTACAGTGTTCATTGACTGGTCCATTACCATTAGCACGAAGCCCGCCAACTAGCCAATCAGAATCAAGCAGAATTTGCCGACCCTCTACCATTGCAGATTACTATTTCCAGTTTTCATCTTCCGGTTAGAGTTTTCCTCCTTGTTGGGTCAGCCCATTTTGTATTAAAGCTTTTGGTGCCAAAGTTGAATCCTGTTTCAGTTGCAGCGTTAACGAACAACTTTGGTGTATCCTTTGGACATCTTGCAAAAGAAAAGACCCAACCTTAGTATTCCCCAAATTGATGTATCCTTTGCAAAGCTAATGGATAAAACTATCACCATCCCTGCCTTCTTCTTGTCATGGAGCTTTGGAGAAAATTTTTTGGTTTATTTGGTTGTCGGTGGATGTTGCCTTTGCAAATTGGGGGACTCTTTGACCCTACAAACTTCAAGTGGCCAAAGAGGGAGAGTTTTATGGAGATGTATTAGGGCTGTTTTGGTATGGACAGTATGGGAGGAAGGAAATAACAGAATCTTCAATGATAAAGAGAGGGATGAGGCTTCTGTCTGGGGTTGTTTGCTAAGCAAGACTCTTAATTGGGTCAAAGCATTGAATCTTTTTTTCACAATTCTCTCTAGTTGACATGTGGAGAAAATGGGAAGTGGTTGCAAATTCTTCTTCGGTTAAGAACAAGTTGGTTGTTGCCTAGAATCCCCTGAAGAAGGCTTTATCAAGCTAAACTTTGATGGTGGCAACCTTGGTAATCCTGGGCCTTCTGGTATTGGAGGAGTTTAGGATGCAGATGGTTAGATTGTTGCCTTGTTTTCTGGTCCAATCAGAGTGGGGAATGTAGTTAGTGCAGAGGTCCAAGCAGTTTTACAGGGAGCACAACTGGCAAAATAAATGAACTTCGCAAGATTGGTCGTTGAAGGAGACTCTAAATTGGTAATTGGGTGGCTGAAAGAGTCGGAGACTGTAGCGTGATCATATAGGGGGGTGATGAGAATATTTAAGTGGTTAACCTCCAATTTAACAGTTAGAGTTCAATGGGAGAGGAGATCAGCTAATGGGCTGGCAGACCTTTTAGCTAAGCAATGGGTGCATAGGGATCACTTATTTTGGGCTCAGTTGTAATTTTTATTTGTCTTGAGAAAGCATCTCGTGCCTCTTTGTGGGAACTCTATTTTGTACCTTATGTTTGTTCATCTTGATTAATCTTAATAAATTACTTTATTTATTATCAAAAAATGATTGTAACAACTGTTTTTTATCAGTTCTTGCCTTTTGTTCCCTTTCTCTGTGCTTGTTTTCGAGCCACAAAGACCCCTGAAATCCTTTCACCTCCTGCTAGAGTAGAGATTCAAGGTCATCTCCTTTATAGGTTGCAAAACTGAAAGAGTGGTGTTTGCACTCTTGCAGCTCTGGTTATTTTAGTGTTTGTTGCCATCAGTTGTCTTTAGTGAAACTCACTCCGTTTAAGGACTACTGGCCGCACCAAGATGCAAGACAACATTTCCTCCACTTCTCAACAAAACCAGTTTGGACATTAAGATATAATTCAAAGAGTTCTAAACCATATGGTCATATATGTCTTCTAGATCCAATTTCCAAACAAATCCCCTTCTCCCTATTTTTATTTTCACCAACCACTTTCACCTTTCTTACACATAAGGTGTGTTACAGTACCATCTAGAGCTTCTATCATTCTACACAAGAGAACCTACCAACTACCCTATAGAGACCGAGTAGCAAGCCAATTGATCTAATGTCCTTCAGTTCCACTGCTTCCATCTTCTTCGGGGTGAGAGAGATGAAAGTAGCGTCCATGGTGTTGTTTAGCCATCCCCTTCTAAAGGAACTCTCCGACCCCCCCCCCTCACCACCACCACCACCAGCATAAGCTTCACATTTACCTTCTTTCAACAGTGTCCATCCAAATGCCCATTTCAGAATATCGTTCTACAAAGTTCAAATTTAACTAAAAGAGTGGCACATTGTAACCATACGAGCAAACTCAAAGTACAAATTTACGAACATATAGTGAACCCAGTTATGATGACTGTAAGTTAAGTTTCAACCAACGAACAAGACACTAATGAGCAGAGGAGGAAAACTTAACAAATAAGTAAACAAAATAGACACCTGGTAGCAAGTAACTGGAATTTCGACGCCCGTCCGAATCTGGCCGTTCTCAACAGTCTGCAACCCCGTCGCATTCAGCCTCCCTCGTACGACGACAGCTCTCCGTCTCAAACGGAACCCTTCTGGAAAAATTCCCGTCGAATCTCTGGAAATGGTGTTCCCAGTGCTGGAGAGAGCAACGGGAACACTTGAACTCAAATTTCTCTGCTCCTCGAAAACGACATTCCGAAAACAACACCAAGGAGGAATGTTCATCATCAAATGAGGCAATGCCATATCCAGAACTCAACCCTTACCGTAGTATTTTTCATCCTACCAGAGAAACCATTGCCATTGAAGGAAGCATCGTTTTTGCCCCAAAAACTGCAGATTGAGACGAACTGCGAACGCTCTAGGATCAAAAATTTGAGACATTGGGATGAGATCGTTTACGATAATTCAGAGAGATCAACGATTAGGGTTTCGAGTAACATTTATTTTTTGGAAAATTAGAAAGAAAGTGAGAGAGATTTTCTTTTGTCTGCAGCACAACCGTTGCAGACTGCTAGCTCACTTCTGAGTTCTGGCAGCAGCGCTCGCTTCGAAAGCTGAGGAAAGAGAGAAAGCTGGAGAGGTAGAGAGATTATCGAATTTTAGATGGGACCCACAGAAATTGGCGAATCCGCGCGTTACGCATAGGGCAAATTTACCCCTAATTTTTAGAAAATTGAATAACTCTACCCTTGCTCTTATATCCTAAATTATTATGAAAATTGACTTAATCCTGCCAATTTTATTGTCCTTAACGTTCCATTTCTTTAAAACCAAGCATTACCTTTTTTTTGTGGTTGATTTTATTATCCTTTATTTTTCATTTTTTTTCAATGCCTAAAAATTTGAGTTCTTTGTAAAATTTTATAGACGCCTCTACCTGTAATAAAGGATTCTGTAGAAGCTTCTACCTGTACAAAATCTTTTCATCGGTACACACTCCATTGCTTAGCTTTAGTTTGCCTTTCTTAATAGCAAAAAAGTGAAGAAGAAAGAATGCAGTATACACTAAGCCGGACTCGTTATATTATCATATAACTTTCCTTCATATTAATCAGCACTGTTGGGTTGGGACGATTGATGAGGGTTTGGCCACACCCATCATCAAAGCTTTAAAAACGGATCCAGAAATGGAACCGTTCTAGCTACCGGTTTTTGGGTCAGTGGTTCGACCGTCCAGGTCAAATGGTTCAGACGGTTTACATTAGAGCAATATAATATATGAGAAACAAAGAAAGGAGGACTGGAGGAGTGGAGAAGAGTCTTTTGTCGGCTGAGAAAGAAGAGAAGAAGGAAAGAAAGAAAGGAGAAAGGAAAAGAAGAGAAAGAAAAAGGGAAGGAGGGAAGAAGAAGGAAGAGGAGGAGAATGATTCGGCGCTCACCGGCGACAGCGATGGCAATGACAAGATGTCGACGACAGTAACAGCGCAGATGACATATCTGAGATCTGAGATACGAGTTCTCAGATCTCAGATCTGAGATTGTTTTTTCATTTTTTCTCATATCTAGATCTAAGATCTGAGAAAAAATGAAACTTTTTCTTAGATCTCTGCAATTTCTTTTTCTTCTTCTTCTTCTTCTCTCTCAGGACATCAAATATGAGTTCGTGTCTCAACTCAGAGTTTCTCCCCTCTTTGTAATTTCTCAAACTACGAACCGCTGTCCGGGTCAAATGAATCAACGGTTCGACCACCCTGGTCAGCAGTTTTTTGACGAATTCAACGGTTTTTTATCCAAGAGTAGGTCAGGGGTGAAACGGAACCAGTTGCTTGGACGGTTTCTGGGCCGAACGGTCCGACCATTCGAGTCAACGGTGGTTCAAAAACATTGCCCGTCATAATCGATGCTTTATGAGAGCATTATATGAACTTCATACAAGCGCTACAGATGCAGGCTTTTTAACAAACCCATTGGGATGGTGGAATGGTGCACCACCTTTTTTTTCTACCTTTGAATCCTGATAAAAGAATAAATGCTCATCTCTTTGGTCACTGCATCTCGTCTTCGCAATCCTTCCTCTCCAACCAAAATGAAAGCCCAATCTTAACTATTAAATCCATCTATGAATTCCAGCAACAGCAAGGTGTCAAGCATTTCATCTTGAAAATTTAAAGAATAATGATGGGTAAAATAGATATTTTCATCTTTTTGATTAAAAATGCTAACAACATGGAGGATTTAGTCAATTGTTGGAAAACATAGGGGTATTTAAAGGCAATATATAAATAGTAGGGGTAGAGTTAGTCAATTTCCTAAAAACTTAAGGGTACTTTTAGAGATTTGCCTTTAGAGTAATGGTTGAATTTTGTGATACACTTTACATTTCAAACATTACTATCATGGATCTCAACTATCCAATTCATAGACCAAATCATTAGTTGACTATTGATCAATCAACAATACTTCCTCATTTACAATAAAGAAAACAAGGAGGATCGTTTTAACAATGTGAGATCAAGTTGGTCCACTTGGAAATGGAAGAATTAGATGTTCTACATTTTGGATAGAGATGATCATCTCATCAATATAAAAGCAACACACTGATACATCCATGCATTAAAAGGGAAAAAAGAAAAGTTACATGACTACATGGTGCATTACCCCCCCCCCCACCCCCCACTAAGTGGCATGACGCCCCTCTCCGCTTTACTAGAGTCCTACTCCAACTAACTTATATTCTCTCCACCACTTTTCCATAAAAAGGCATTTTTTAGAAATTGTATATCCAAATAAGAACCTTCATTATTCTTTCTTAAATTATCTCTAATTCTTATCTACCCTCTCCTCCACTTTCTCATGTATATATATATATATATATAATATTTATACCTGCGTCAACTTCAAGGACACGACCTCATTAAGGCCTTCCCTAAGGATGAATTCCCACTACTCAATATGTAGATATTCAACTATAGGCAACAAACCATTCCCCCTTCCTAGATGCATACAATAGCTATAACCATATCTTCATAGACCCTCCACTTGCTCATCACACAGCCTTACGCCTATTGGCAATTTCTACTACCAAGTGATGTTTGGATTAAAAAATGTTGGGGCAACTTACCAAAGGGTGATGACTTGCGCTTTCCATGACATGATGCATAAAAGAGATAGAGTGCTATGTTGATGGCATTGTGGTGAAATCAAAGAAAAATAGATGATCACATCGAGGTCCTTAGAAAGATTTTCACAAGGTCTAAACAATATAACTTGAGGCTAAATTCACTTAAATGCGCCTTTTGGAATAGAATCAGGAAAATTCCTAGGGTATAAAGTTGATCGGGTAGGCATTTCACCTAGATGATGCAAAAGTCAAGGAAATCCTAACAGAAATTCCCAAAGCTAACAAAGAAAACCAATAGCTTCCACTAGTTACAAGAACATAACAAAGCCTTTAAACAAATATAATAAGCATACGCTAAAGCACCAAGAAGCCATAGGATGCTTCATTATGCAAGACAATTAGGAAGGCAAGGAGTGTCCTATCTACTATGCCAGTAGAACTGTGAAGCAGATAGAAAAGAATTACTAATACATGGAACAATAATGCCTACCTTTAGTATTCATGGCGTAAAAATTCAGATATTACATCTTGTGCCAGAAAATTATCTTGATCTCAAAGAGTGATCCAATCAAATATTTCATGGGCATACCCCCTCTCTTAAGCAAGTTGGTAAAGTGAATGATGCAGTTCAGCGAGTACACCATTGAACATACCTTGCCTAGAGCCATTAAATTCCAAGTAGTAGCAAACCTCATTGTAGACATTCCTACTGAAGACCCCCTAGAAGTCTCAGAGTAGATACTAGGAGACCTTCCCCTAGTTGTAGTTGTTAATGATGGATAATGAGAAATAATCCTCAACGGAAGCTGTGTTATTTCCAGTGTTGGAGTAAGAGTGATCGCGACCTCACCTTCCAGAGAAACCGTAGCCAACTCTTTTAAACTCCAATTCCCCTGTTCACAGAACGTCATAGAGTATGAAGCCCTTGTCCTAGGGTTAACTATAACAAGAGAGCTAGGCGCGAAGAAAATCATGGTTATAGGTGATTCATAGTTGGTCACTTGGCAGATGAACGAAACAACCATAGTAAAGAAAATCCCATTTACCCTACAAAACCCTTATCCAAAAGTTAACCCAATACCTAACCATCACCTACCAACACAGAAATCATGCCAAGACTCACTATACAAACTGTGAGTTATGTCCAGATGCAAGGGGTACCATCTATAAACAAACTATCTCACTAGGTAGAAACAGAAGACCAAATAAGCAAGCAAGACTAGAGATACCCTATAATTTAGAAGCTAAAAAATCTACCTCCTCACCACAAGACGTTAAAAATCCTCTTGTGGTACTAATTAGTAAATGGAATCATCCACTATATGTTGGCTGACAAGGTATACACTCACTACCTAGGAATCGAAGAAGGGAAGGTATTACTAAAAGAGACACACAAAGTATGTTGTGGGAATGTAACTACCTCATTGTACAGGAGACTGTGGGGCATGGTCTACTATGGCCAAATATAAAAGCCAATGTGATGAAGGTACAAAATGACTATGAAAGATACATACCAAAGATAGACAAGATTGAGTATTTGGTGGTCGAAAAGGCTAACTGGAGGGACTCCTACGTTGCTTATTACCTAACAATAGGTGCCCTTCCAATCGATATCATTGAGAAATTTCTCCCATTTATAGTCAATAGGTCCTACATGCAAATGAATTGCTATATTATAGAACCTTTAGTAACAAACCCTTAAGATATATGGGCAAAGAATCCTACAAATTTTGGAAGCAACCTACATAGAGAGGCAACAACACACCAGGGTTAGAACCCCTTATGTAGTCACAACTAAACATGTAAAAAAAGTGCACATCTATCAGATACATGGGCAAAGAACCCACGAGCCATCCAATGAACTCTACCCAATAATTGCACCTTGTCCTTTTCACACATGGGGAGTAGATCTAATTGGAAAGATAAACCCACCCTCTAGAGGTTACTATTCCATTATAGTTGTCACTGACTAGTTCACAAAGTAGGCCAAGGCTATCCCCTTGAAAAGAATAGTAGTTGTTAGACAGTGTATGCCCTTAGCTCCAATCAGAATGGTGTACATTATGACATTTAATGTAAATGAATAAAGTACATATTTGATTCATGCTATTATGGTGTATTTCTGTGTAATACTCTTAAAGTTGACACTTATGAGACTCGTGTTAGTTTAAAATATTCACAGCCGTTGGATAGATCTGGGGAGATTTATCCTGCCAAAGCTAACACTGATGTGCCACCAAGTTGGTTGGGGTGGCTTGTCTCAACTGCCAGGGTGAGACCTGAGGTACATGCAATGTGGGTTTTCTTAAAACCCTGAACCGGACCAGAATTCCAGTATTGCCTTGGACCTTGGAGATAGATGGGCAAAACTGGAATGTTACACTTGACCCCTAAACTCAATTATGATACTGCACTAGGTGTCAGATTGGGCTGCCTTTGATATGCCAATCAATGAGATCCTTAGAGGGGGTCAAAACTTGGTGTATGTTGGGTCAGTCCGAGAATTCAT